GAGCGTCGAAGATCTTGTACAACACCTTCTGTGTCATGATCGTCGGCTGTGGATTCTTGAAGCGCTCGAAAATGTTGATGACCATCCAGGCCTGCCAGTCAGAGAACGGAGCCACGACACATTCGTTGAAGGACTTGTACCAGCTGTCGATGTCCCGGTCAACGAGGACCACTTTCGCCTAGATGCAGTGATTAGTATCAAGCTTGACCAGGGGAGACTTGTAAGAGTTCGCTCACCTCTGGGTAGGCCTCAAGCAAGTCATCCGTGAACCCAAGCACAGGGCAGTCCGACAGAACGGCCCATCCCTTGAGGATCTCGTCAAATTCCTTTCGTCCAAAAGGTGTTCCCTTCCCTTCATACTTGGCAAGATATGCTTCTGTCCAGGCCTTTTGATCGTCAGGTCGTAACATGTATTCGAAGCCATGGTACGTAGGCAGTCCAAGTTCTTCGTAGGCAGCCTTCATAGATGTGCTGCCAGTTCTTGGCATGCTTAGGTGGAGAACTTGCACGCCAGATTCATAAGTCATTGTGGCGGTTGAAAGTGAATTGACCATGAAATTGGCCGGAAGTGGTCATCATGGCAGGCAGATTAGCCAGCTTAAGTAAAGCAGCATCGTTCCACAAGAAGTGGAACTAATGCGTCTGACAGACTCATCGCAGTTATGTGGTTTCTTTCCCGCCCATAGTGGCTGGGCTCTTCAATTTTAAGGGGTCTTTTGTGTTACAGATACGCGCCCGGTATGCAGCATTGTGTTGGCACCTCTTGTTAGGATTATGCGCTCCGCTGACCGGTCTGGCAGCGGTCCATTTTGTTGGTCGAGAGCCACGTTGCCACTTCAGAATGCGACTTCCCACATGAAGGGGACATTAAAAAGGCTACTAATCCACCAATGACAAAGTCTTTCTAATGGATTGCAACATGCACCTGAAGAATGACAACATGCGATGCAGCTAAGACCGTCGGCATCGCCCATCCTTAGGGTGTGATCGGTATAATTCCTAACCCTAGCTCACCACTACTACAGTTAGTATAAAATAATAAAAAATAGTGTTTTTAAAGCTACCTTACTATATTAGGTCTATATAAGTTAAAACTAAGCTTAATAAAGGTTTCTAAGGTTATTAATCCTCTAAGCTATTATATTAGACTAAAATTTAGTTACTAAGTAATAAGATTAACGATAAGTTTACTTAGAGAAGCTTAGTTACTAAGGATTCTAAAGTATAAATCTAATAACGCTAGAATTATTATTATATAAGAGTATTAGTTTTTAATAATATAGTAATACTATATATAGCTAGAGAGAGCTTAGTTAAAGGTTTCTTCTAGCCTAAGATACTTATATAGTAATATATTAATATATTAATAAAGTATACTATTTATTAACTTAACTATTAAAAAAAATAACTATTAATATAGATATCTTTAATACTTTTAAGTAAGTATTTAATAATAATAATAAAGAATAATAGCTTATTATAGTTTTATTAATTATTTTTAAAAAGTATATTAATAATAACTCTAATAATAATAACTCTAATAATAAGACTTTTATTATCTTTAATAAAATACTAATCTATTTAAGTAGCTTTTTAGTAGTAATTTAGATTATAGAAGGGTTATTAATAAGATTAAATATAAAGTTTACTAATACTTTCTATATATTAAAGTTAACCTTTTTTATACTAACTTTATAGTTTTAACTTTATAGTATTAAAAACTTAAAGTTCTAAAGTATAAAGTATAAATTAATAATCTTTTTATATATTATAAGTTTTAGAGAGCTTTAGAGGAATACTTCCTACTACTTTAAAGTTACTTAAAATATAATATTAAGTATCTTCTATATTATATTTAATATACTTATAAAGCTATATAAAGAAGTAGTAGTTTAACTAATAGAAGATAATATCTTAATAAAGATTAAGTTAAAGCTAAAAAATTAGACGTTTAATAGCTATATAAGAGTAATTAATAGTACTTTTCTATCTATTTATATACTTTAAAGTTAATAATATTAGTTTTTTAATAAGAAAAGAAATTTTTTATAGAATATCTTTATAGTAGTAAGATTTAACTATACTTTTATATATATACTTATTAGTATAAAAAGTAGTATAAATAATAAATCCCTACTTTTATACGCCTTAGTAAGGTTATTTATCCTATTACTAAGTAGATTTTACTTAAGTAATATAGGCTTTAATAAGAAGTACTTAGAAGTTATTACTTTATTTATTAGTAAGTAATATCACTTATATAACTACTTTAATCTTTAATAGTAGCTATAGATAAGAAAGGAGTTATATAATCTTAGCTATATAAGGCTCTATAATATTATTAAGTATATCTTTAGGTTATTAAAGAGGAAGTTTAAGATTATAAGAGGTATAGCGTATAAATATAACTTTAATATCTAAGTGAAGTTAGTATATATAGTGATAGTATTATAGAATTTTCTAGTGAAAAAAGAGGAGGCGCTAAGAGGGTTAATACTATAAGAGATTAATATACTTAAGAAGGCTAAAGTGAGGGTAGTAATATAGGTAGGTTAATAACTAAAGTTTGAGGTATAATTTAATATTACTATATTATAGTAGGAATTTTATTATTAATACTTTATAAAGATAGGTTTTTAGTAATTAATAAGCTAAATTTATATTATATTAATTTAAGTAATAATCTATTTAAAAAATACTACTCTAACTAAAGCTAAAAAAAAACCCTCTTATTACCTCTCTAGCTTATCTATTAAGCTTTATTTTTTTAATTTATTAACTACTTACTATAATTATATTAACTCTTTATAACTATATTAATATTATAGTAGTAATAATAGTAATACTAATATTTATATACTATTAATTAGTAAAAACTCTTACTTTAACTCTTTCTCTTCTAATATTAAAAACCTAACTACTTTACTTAGCGCTATTAAAAAGAGGTTTAATATAAAAATAAAGCCTTTTAACTTAGCTTTAACTTTAAATAGCTACTAAGTATTAACTACTACTAACTTTATATTATCTACCTCTACTATATATAGCGCTAGCTTATTAATATTTATTCTCTATAATTTATAACTTTAGGTTTCTGCTGCTTTAATATAAAGGTGTTTATTTTAACATACTAATAATAAGGCTACTAAATTTTCCCTTAGAAATACTACTTCTAAGATAGTTATATTAGTAATATTAATTTAATTAAGATCTTACTACTATATTATATATTTATACCTTTAAGTTAAAGTAATAGTTAGTATTTATATTACTATAAGATTAGCTATTCTTAATATTATTATAGCTTATAAGAGAGGTAAGCTACCTATATTAAGTAGTAGTAAAGCTAACTACTTTACTAGAGACCTTATTTCCTCCTTAAAAAATCTTAATTAGTATACTAACTAACCTTTAGGATTAAGTTTAATAATATTTTAATCTATAATAATCTTAGAGAGCTATAAATATATTATTAATAACTCTATCTTAAGGAAGCTATAATTTTCTATTTATTTATACTTAAGGTTAACTTAATATTATTATAACTATCTCTCTTCTAATATTAATATTATACTTATATAGTTATTATAGTTAATATTAGATAAATCTTTTAATATTTTAACTTTATAATATAAAGTATTAGTATTTTAGAACTTTATTAATAGGTTTTTAATTATAAAGAGGTCTCTAGGAAACTCTCTCTATAAGATAAGTATAATAGAGGTAAGTATATAGCTTAATATATATATCTTATTATTATTACTTAGTAAACTCTTAATCTTAATATTAAGAATAAGTTAGAGTAACCTCTACTATACTATAAACTTCTAATAAAGCTTAGGTATTATTAATTAACTTACTAAGAGTAGAAGTAATATTAATAAGAGGTTTTAGTCTTTTTTAGAGTTACTTAATAATATAGTAACTTTAATTTTATCTAAGATTACTTCCTCTACTTATATACTAAGTAAGGTCTTATTAAAGTATTATTTATTAGCTACTATCTTAAATATAAAGTAAATTATAAAATAAATAATTAGTATAATAAAAAATAGAGGTTTTTAATATTAAAAATAATATATTTAAGTAAACTAAAGCTATTTTTAAATAATCTTAGCTTCTTAGAAGTATTAAGGAGTTAGTAAAATACTTACTATTTATATTATAGTAATAATCTAAGCTAATAGTGACCTAGCGCGATATATATACTATATATAGCGCTAGTAAAGTAGCCCTTAGCAGAGTCTCCAAAACATGAAAATTATACCGATCAGACCCTTAGGTCTCGCAACAGCTGGGTACGCAGAACATTATGGCTATTAAGTGAGTTATTTACTGTGCGTCAAACAAATACCCATCAAATTTGATAATATTCATAGATGCACCGACCTTGGTATATGTTGTACATCACCTGCTGCCAATGTTTAAGATAAAAAAGTATGAGATGCGATTTTGTGACACGTAAGGTATCTCAGATACATGTAGTTTCACGAGACAACGCAGGTTGTACCGAGAGCCCGCTCAGTTGGCACCAAACGGTTAATTCTCTAAGCTTTCCAACTTCATTTTTCTAATAATTGAAGCTGAAAGAAAAGTTCCAGAGTGATAATAATTCCTGATGGTATGGTATAACCTCAGGGTTTGTCTATGCTCTTTGTCTGTACTAGGTATCTGTGCGATCTCTTGATTCCATCTTTTAAATAGGCGCGAGCATTTTGAGTATGCACCTGGCTGCATAAAAATGTCCAGGCTATGTATGGTTCACTATCTTTTCTTTCTGAGGGTTGATTATGGCCCCCAAGGTTGCCTATTTTGCCTGCGTATGCCCGGGCCTGTTGCGCCGAACCTTAGTTAGTGCGGTGACTAAGTACCGCTAGGGGCATCCATGGATCTGGTTTTCTCCGTTTACCAACAGAAGAGCATCAAAAGACCGTCATCGCCCACCAACGATACACATAAATCTCGCAAATCAACACCGAATAACAAAAAAAAAATTCAGTATGGGTAATTATCTTTCAGTTCTCAAATCCCAGAGTCCGCCGCTAAAGGTCGTGACGCCACCGCCAGATCAACCCGACCTCACGCCCGTTCCCCAGTCATGGCATGAGTTCGACGAAGAAGCCTCAGAATGGAAACCAGTGGAAAATGTCACTAATGACAGCCTACGAGACGAACCGACTCGGAACTTTGACCCCGATTTGAAGTTGACGATAGCCACATGGAACGTCGACGCATTTGCCGAGCGTTCCGCCAAACGGCTGTCTTACCTCTTGTCCAGGATCCTTGACCACGCGCCGGTTCCGGACGTCATCTTCCTCCAAGAGGTGAACAAGGGCATGGTGCCCCTAATTCTGATGAATCAGCAGATTTGCGACGGGTGGTATTCCAGCGAGAAAGACGCGGTCAACTGGGGCGGCCATCTATTCGCGACCATGACGCTCGTGTCGAAGGCGCGGTTCGGACACCTGGGGAGAGCTCAGTACGGGGCTCTTGGGCAAGTTTCGCGCATCAAGTACCGGTCGTATTACGGCAGAGACGCACTTTGCAGTGAGGTATTTCTGCCGTCTAATCCCTCATCAATCCTCCGGCGGCCTACATTCAAGCGCATCGAGATCATCAACGTACATCTGGACTCGCTTGCCAGGATCCCGTCTCTGCGTCCTCATCAGCTTTGGCTTGCGTCGAAGATACTCCGTGAGGCGGGCCACGGCCTGGTCGCGGGAGACTTCAACCCGGTTCTTCCTGAGGATGAAACGCTCATCGAAGGGAACCATCTTGTCGACGCTTGGAAGGCTGTCCATGGTGAAGAGCCTGGATACACTTGGGGAGTTGACAGGACCGCGCCGTTCCCGCCCAATCGAATGGACAGGGTTGCGATGGTGGGCCTGACGCCTGTGCACATGGAGGTGATGCATCCAGATACCATCGTTGTTCAAAGTCCTGAGGTCACCGAGAAAAACGTCCCTTGGAGTGACCACTCAGGCTTGAAATGCACTTTCACGATCAATCCATGATGGAGACTTGACGGACCTCTGTGTATTGGCAATTATGACTCTGAGTTCAACAGCTTGTTAAAACTACTATTTGGGTTTCATGGATCAGTTTGGATTGTTTTCACCACAGCAAGATGGCGTTGCGAAGGGAAAGATATATGAGCACAATATCGGCCTAATATTTCAATATCGAACATGCATTAAAAACATTGTGAACTTCTCATCTCCTGTTCGGCCAGATTTGTTACGTGCATGTTCGTGGTCTCCAATCTAAGCAAACTAGGGCCCCATCAGATTGATGGCTGCCTGCACTAGGCAGCGAAGTGCCGAAAGCCCCTGTCTGTGATTGGCCTGGTCGGACTTCATCAGCCTCTGTTCAATCTCATGTCATCTTCTTTCAGAAAATCGGCCATCTTTGATGTTTTCTCTCTTCATTCCAACGACCTGCTCAAACAGAACTAGTACACAGGGCACGTAGCCTTTGAAGATGGAACATCTTCCTCTACCACGCGACCCTATCAATGAGCACCCGGTCATTAAGCTCGCGACGGCTCAATTCCACAACCCCGGGCCATTCCTCGACTACCCAGACCGGCATGGCGCTCTTCTCAGCGGTCAATATCCACATGTACCCACCCAAGCCGATGCGCTCCAGGGCCGTTTCTCAGCCGGAGTCTCAAGCTACAACGTCCTCGATTACTACCAAGGATGGCTATTCTTTGCACTCATCAAGGAATTCCTCGGGGATGAAGGCGACTATAATGCACGGAAGAAAATCATGTCTTTCGCTTTCGACGATGACGGACAGCTGAGCAGCGCTGCGCTTTCGACCAAGTCGTTGCATGAGGACTTGACGGCATGGAGGGAAACCGGACGTCTATCGAGCATTCGGCGTGGCGCCGAATATCACAAACATCTCGACGAATGCCTCGAGACCGCGTTCGAGGCTCTTGACAGCATCGATTCCAGATTCCCCGGCTTTCTTCGGGTCTTCAGAGACGAAATGATCTGCCTGGCGAGTGTGGCTGAGACACTGGACGTGGCGGTCCAGACAGCTCTAGAGCATGGGCCAGTGGCGGGTAAGACTCTGGTGACAATCTGCCCTGCTCTGACAGGATGACTGGGCTCCGTCTCGTTCCAGATGAACAATTAGCTAATGAGACTGCCTCTTAGAGATGAATCATGACGAACAGTACTTCCCAGCCCGACCCAAATATGGGTGGTTCTCAACCATTGCACCCCTCCTGGATCCGTTGAGCCCCGAGACTAAGAGGGCCATGGTCAACGCGGGGTGGTGTCCCGGCGACATTGGCAAGATTCGTGACACCTTCACGAGCATTGAGGCGTTCTACTACCTGCAAAACTTCAAAGCCGACTCTACGGTGGCTGATCTGCACAAGGACTGCCGAGAGTATGGGTGCAATGTTAGAATCCCCGCGGTACCCAAACACGAGAGTCCTGGGTGCGAATGCCCAGGCATGATGACATTTGACGAGGAGCACCTCATCGAGATCTATCAAAAAGGAGACATTCCCTGCTTCGCCATCGGCAGGCTCGAGGACGGCGGTCTCGGGGTGGCATTGACCTCAATCGGCATCGACGAAGAGTCTCAAAAGGACCCCGAAAACCACTATGTCGCACTCTCCCACGTTTGGTCTGAAGGGATGGGAAATGTGCAAGCGAATGCACTGCCGTTCTGTCAACTCGCATATGTGATGCACTGGTCGATGATGGCCTATCAGGTGGTCGAAGATAAGCTACGGGAGGAGGAGACGACGGGAACGGGAATCAACGTGCAGACGAAACCGAAAGTCCGGCAGATTAACCTGTGGATCGACGCAATGTGCTGCCCTGCGACTCCGGGGTACGGTAAGAATTTGTGCCTGTCAAGGATGCGAGAGATTTATGCAAACGCCTATGCCGTCCTCGTCAAGAGCGCGGTTCTTCAGGCAACGAGTGTCAGGGACATCTTCGAAGACACCTCCAGGGGTCTTATCGATGTTGCCACGCATATTTACACGTCGCCGTGGATGCGTCGCATGTGGACGCTTCAGGAAGGCGTTCTCGCCGGCGCGTCGCGAGCCAGAGGCTCTGGCGACAGGCTCTGCTTCGCGTTCCGCGACAGCCTCCTCTCCCTTGAATCAGTCGTCAACCTGCTGAAGCAGGCCCCAAAGCACGAAGCGTCCCTGGCCTTCCGCTTCATAGCAGAGTTCCGCGACCTCAGCGTCAGCATGTGGCAGCTCCCCGACGAGACCAACACCCCCGGGCGCAAGGTGCACCCGTTGAATTTCTTCCTGCAAATGCTGGTCAACGCGCTCAAGCACCGCAGCTTGACGGTTGCGTCCGATGAGGTAATATGCCTAGCTACGCTGCTGGATCTGCGCATCAAGACGGCGCGCGGGGAGGTTGAGCCTCTTATCGGCGACGGGGAGACGCCCGAGGACGGGATGTGTCAATTGTGGCGCAGGGTCGAGACGCTGCAGGGCGCCGCTGGGCTGCCGGGTGACATCATCTTCTCGTGCGTCCCGCGTGTTCAGGTGCCCGGTTTCCGCTGGGCGCCCCGGACGTTGGTGCAGTATGCCAAATACGGGAACATGTTTGTCTCGCCTTCGAGCCCCTACCCGGCCAGGATCGAAGATGAGGGCCTGAGAGTGAGGTTTCCCGGCGCGAAGCTCAACTGCTTTGGTGGCCTGGACATGGTGGGAAGGTTGCTCCCCACTGAACCGGGATCGACTGATGAGAACGGTGATGGGGACGGTAGAGATGCAGAAGCAGGAGGCGAAACGGTCGTCCCACGCGTTCTGATGATCAAGGTCCCGCCAGACGGTGATCAGTGGTATGCAGTTCACGTCTACGAGGAGCCAAAAGACGGAAAAGAGGATGGGAGTTATCCACGATCATCGGAGGGAGATGAGGAATCAAGGCCAAAGGCAATCGCAGATCGGCACGATGATCTGGTGCAGCTGATCAGGAACGGCTCCGTCGCCCTGGTTTTCCGGCCCGGTGAGGTGATCACTGGGCCCGGCCTACTGGTGTCCATGCCGACATCGCCGTCTTCGGCAGAGCTAGGGGCCGGGTTAGCGATGCTAAGTCTGAACCCAGAGCCCCTTCGGGTGCACAGCGAGTTTCCCGTGCAGATCAGATCCCTTGCCGGACCGTCCTGCGTCATTGCCGACGCGACGGTACGGTGTGTCGAGGGGCTGCAGGAAGCAGTTGTGGCTGAGGCGAGACAGCGCGGGGGGGATGTTGCCGTTAGCGATGTTTGGGATGATCAGGAGATTGTAACCCGACTGCTTCGCGAAACGGCCGAAGGCTTGATGGGATCGTCAGAGGACTTAAAGAAGGCGCTCTATTTTGAGGTGCTGGCTAGGAGAGCTTCTTCGACAGACAAGACTGCGCTTGAAATCTTCTTGAAATATGTCCGTCATATGGCATATTTTGGTGGAGGCATGAAGGGAGAGGCATATTTTGAAGATCAAGAATGGTGGGTGGACTGAGCTTGGAGGTGACACAAGTAGCTTGAAGACAAGAGCGCCCGCTCACACGTTTAAGACTAGCTCAGTGTCCAAATCAAGACAGGGCAAATTAGCAGTAAAACACTGTAAGACCATGTCATGCTGCATTTGGAAGGTGCAAAGATCAGGTCTGCTGGTCGAAAAATTGCGCAAAGAACACGGTTGATAGGGTGACTGGAAATCGTAACCTGATAACTACATAGTGATCTGTAGCAGATAGCATCCATGAGGTTTCAAAAAGGGTGATGCTACATTAACGGGGCGGGGCCTGGCATCGATGATGAGGGTTGGGAACCGAGGTGGACATCATAGGGAGGATGAAGCGTGTAGGGCGCCATATTCGAAGACCAAGTGCCGCCAATTCTACCTAACGCACGCCATATCAAACGTCTTTTGGATTGTTGTTCGTGGCGTTGGGGAGGCTGAAGCTATCGTGAAATCGGCGGTAGGGACCTCGTTCGAGGGGCGAAGATGTTCAAGATGTGGCGATCAAGCAGACACGTTCGCTCGAAATCGATGACTGGAAAGGCTTGAAGTGGCTGTGAGACATTCGATAGCCGAGAACAGAGGCGTCAAAACCCCACCAAACAAATGACGTTTATTTCATGAAAGCAGATCCAACCATGTGAGACATCAGACTAGGCCAGATGGCTTGGCGGCCCGGTGAGATTGGATCGCATACCACTTACTGAATGCGTGACACCACCAGACCCAAGAGTGTTGCCATCAACAAGAGCGTCAGTCGCCCAGCCTTACGAATCCGGCCTTGAGGTGGGATTCTGTGCGGTTTTGTTCGGCCCGAGGCCACCTGCGAGCCGAGTTTGTGAATTCAAGCGTCAAATGCATCATTGAGCTCGGGAGCCAACCCAATCTCACAGGCCCACAACCACCCGACGGGTTCATCCGAGATAGCCCGATCCATCGATGCTCTTGCCGGCGGGATGTGACGTTGGACATCGGGTATCTTGGCATCTCAGACTGGCCACATCCAAGTCGACAGGAGGGCTTGCAACCCCAGAGATTGAGTCGGATTCTTGCCCCATGGTCGCATCCGGTAGATTGCTTACTGAACTAATCCGACCATTTCATAGTCTATTCTGCGCGCCGGCCCCATTACCGAAGACGTTGGAATCTGATCCACAATCTTTATGTCTATTCTGAGGAGCCCTATCACAACCAGAAAACTACTGGAAGTACTCATTGCTAGAAGTCGTATATAAGGGGTACATCCCCCCCCACGAACCTAGTCATCAAGTGGATAGCAAACGGTGAGAAGGTGCTCTCCATCCCATCCTCTTTCGGCCACCGTCTACACGCTAATTGAGGCACACACCACCAACATCTCATAGCACCCTCTGCAGAGAGCGGACGAACGACTCCACGAAGGATGTCTGCAATCAGAAGTGCTCGATAATAGAAACACTTGGCAACAATGTGACAAATGGATGTCGATGCTGTCACAGAGAGGTCATGGACCATAGATTGGTCTAGACTACCTCAAGTGCC